TTCATGACCAGTTATACAAACAGTTACTGTTGATGTATTGTATTGATTCAATGTTGTATTTGAAAGTAAATCTAAAGTAACTGGTGTCTCATCCATATTACTAATATATTTTAAAGGATAATCATATTGAATTTTTCAATATAAAATAAAACTAAGAAAACTTTGTTATTTTTGTAAAAGATCATCTGAAAGATGTTGCATAATATGAGTTCGTTAAATCTTTTTATAAAACCTTCCAACCATGTTGTTGAAAATTTAAAGTTATTGATATTTGGATAAAGATTAAGATAATCTTTAGCAATAGATTTAGCCTTTTTAATAATTATATTTTACATAACTGCTTTTGTTACTTGACGCATATCTATTACCTATAAAGACAAATTTTTTTCAAGTTCTGAAAGATGTGCTTCCCTTCCTTTATACAGTTTTTGAATATAAGGAGCTGCATTTTCTAATTGATTTTTTGGTTTTTCTAATATCGTATTTGTTTAGGCTTAACTTCAAATTTTTTGGTCACTAACCTATTATTTTTACATTATTCAGCATAATAGATAATAAGCAACTTTTCTCTTGCATACCACTACCTTTTTTTCTTTAAAGTAATATGAGATTTTTTATGAGAACTCTTATTACAATATATTATCATTTTTTTTTGAAAAAGAGAAAGAAATGCATTTAAAAAAAATAATGTGAAATTAATTTATTTACATTACATCCTGATTTAATTTCGATTTCAAACTTAGAAACTCATGACTAAAATTCTCTGATTATATCCTCTTCAAAAACAGCATCTGGTTCTACTAAAATTCATCAGTAATGTTGATTTGATTTTTTTTTCTTTCCATCAGCTTATTTGTTATTAATAAATAACTTTGATTTTAATTTTTTAGAATTAGTTAAGAGAAACTATCAAGTTTGGCTACTTTAGACAATTCAAATTTAATAGATAAAATTTAAACTAGAACAATTTAAACTAGAATAAAGTTTAAATAAAAAAAAATTTTGAATGGATCAAAAAATTATTTTATTGACAAATTTTAATGCACAAAAATTTGTCATATTTTTATTGATTTTGGCAAATATTCTTGTACCCTCTCACCTAATCAAAGTATCCCCTATAGTATTATATCCCTGAAGTTTGAGAAAATTGTATTGTACCCTCATAGAAAGACTTTCATAGTATTAGCTGAATAGATTATACAAATTTTATAATTGATATTGTAAATATTTATACATATTACGTGATATTATAATATAATAATATAATTAACTATTATATTTAAACTATTATATTTAAACTATAATATTTAAACTATTTAAACAATGTATACTAAACAAAAGTCTAATAATAAAATGAATAGTTTAATTTATTGATTTTATATAATAATCAAAAAAAATAAAAATAAAAAATAAAAATAAAAATATATTTTTATTGTTGTTGAAATTTCTGCAAAGTCTCTTCTAATGCAAATGCCATATATTCTACAGATTCGCTTTTATCATTATCATCACATGGAATGTCATTTTCTGGATCTTTAACTTCTACCCGCAGTTTTTCTTTGAAGCATTGTAAACATTCTAATAAAGACTGAACATGTTCATCAATCTCATCTTGTAAGAACGAAAGACAATATAAACACTTAAATTCATTATTAGTATAATAAGATTTATGATAGGTATGACCGCAAGCTAGAACTTTAATCAGATCTGTGTTGATTAATAAAGAAATAGAACAGTTAGATGCATCACAAAAACAGAATAGATCTGGTTTATATAAAGTATTAAATCCTAGTGAAAGATGATATAATTGTACTTCTGGCATTTTATTGCCATTAATGAAACAATAATATCATTAGTTTTTTTTTCTTTGAAGACAGACCCAGATTTATGGTAGCCTGTAATGAAAATGTCAATGGTGATTTATTGTAAAATACGTGTGCATAAATCTCTGAAAAATATTGCAAAAAGAAATATGCACTTTTCTTTGTTAAAAGAGTGATGTCTTGGGCAGAATATTCATAAGCGGTCTATATGGATGTATGCATAATATTCTTTTTAAATATATTATTATCTAGGCATAATCAGTTGATATAATGTCTATATTTAATGATCTGCTATATCTCAGTATACTTCTGTATGCTTTAGCATAAAAAGCTATAGAATATTTCAACAGTCGAGTCTGTAAACTTTGGAAGTTCAGCTTTAATTATTTTTAATATAAGATGATCATTTGATTCTCAGTAGAATATATCTGAAAGGAATATTAATGGTGCTTTAGTGTAGTTTTTTCGACAGAATTTGAGAAACATCACTCATATACGAAAACATAATTCTAGATAAATATCAAAATCTTCAGATTGGAAAATACTGCATAAATATCTAGAACCAAAGGGATTAGATTATCAAGCAGATTTTTCAGTGCAAGATATTTAGCATCTTTACAGTACAGAAATCTAAATTTTGCTTCAACACTTGTCGAAATTTCCTGCCAAACACCATGAGAAATTTCTAAGAGAAAATTAATACACCATAGCTTGGGCTTTTGTGCAAGAGGACTTCGTTCTCTAAAAATATACTTATACATGGCCAAAAAAAATGGTCGATATTGAAAAAATATTAGCTCTTGACTATTTAATGAAATATGCAAGGGACCTATAATAGGAAAAAATGATAAAATAGAATTAATAATGTTTGATCAGTCACAGTATAATATAAAATGAGAAATAGCTATTCAAAGGTATATTTGTCTAGGCCAATCAGTGACGACGGGTATAATATATTTCTTTTGAATATACTGTTAAATAAATGGAACATTTACAATAGCATTAATAATCTTGATATATGCACTTAAAGAATGAAGATTATTCTCTTGCAAATCTATAAAGACAACATCTTTCATCAAATAAGAATCCTGTTTTTCTTTCAATCTAGTATCATAACTATATACAGTTAACTCTTCTATTTTAGTATAATTATTAACTGAACGAAATTTCCAACGTTGATTATATGAAAGACTGTAAAGCATCATGAATCTATTATTTAGATTCAGTTTTATCAACTTCGCGTCGACCAACCTAGAATTTTGTATATTTATGTTTGGAATCGCATACTATGTAATAATTAAATTTATTAAAATTGTTGCCGAGTGTGCTGCAGTAGAAGTAGTAGTTGTGTTTGGCATCTGTTTCATATGGATACTATGATAATTGTTGATATTTAATATCATTACTTTTTCTGCATGTTCTGCAAGCGTAGAATTAATAGTTTTAGTATAGTTATCAGATATGGTAGTTTTATATCACGTGATTGTATGAGATGTTGTAGTTACGCCTAGATCAACAAGAGTATCTATAAAAGCATTAGAAACATCAGTAAAATCCAAGTACATCGTCAAATCTCCCTTTGCGTTATTGACAAACTTGTTACAGATTCTGCAGATAAAGTAACATACAAATAGGAACTGCTTTTTCGCCTGTGCCCATGAACTTTCATTTTTTGAAGAAGGGTTAGATAAAAGATATAACTTGTCAAAAAAAACCTTTAATCTTGCATCTTTCCCCTCCATAACTATGTGAAATTCATCAAAAGAGTATATTGCTGGTTTTTTTTCCTATTTTCATAATTATATAAAATATCAGTTAATATTTTTATTGTTTCAGAAAAGGATAGAACAGAAGGTGAAGGTAGCAGAAACTGAGGTTGAAGTGGAGGTAGAGCTTGAGATGGAGGCGAAGCTTGAGGCAGAGCTTAAGGTTATTTCAAAACGGGCACTATACTTCTTTAAGAATGTTGTCAGAATTCAGCTGAACTTCTTGTTACAATTCTATTATAATAATTCAAGCATATTGTATCGCCTAAATGGATATAAGCTGGCAAAGTATGGTTAACTTGACCTTTAGTAATAACAAACTCAGTTACCTTTCTCCAATTAGTCGACTGTCTTTGACATATAATAATTACACATGGTCCAATAATAGGCATATTTTGTCTTCTAAGTAAAGTCCTCCAGTTTTTTGATTCTTTTTTGATTCTTTTACATAGAGTTTTAAAGTTATTTCGGAGTTAAAAATAAAGTTTGAACTTATTTTATTAAGTAGATTATCTAAATCTCGAAAAGTACTTTAAACTGTATAAATTTAATTAAAATCGATCGGCCAATCACGTGAATGCCCGTGCCCATGAATCGTACCCAGGGTATCTTAGTCAACTGTTACATAGTGACTCTATGAAATAACTGATTTATCTCACAGTTCCGTCCTGTGAGTCTATTTTATAGTTTATTTATTTCTCTTATTTTTAGCTGATAATAACTTTTATTTACAACCTAATCCAACCTGATTAGAAAATGGAATTTGGTATAGGATATCTCATGTAGGAAAAAATAGATTGAATAAATTTATGATATTCCAGTTGAATTACTTTCTAATCATTCTGGATGTAAAACTGCAACTCAAATTTTACAAGATGAAGAAATTTCCGAACAAGCAATTATGCAACTTACTGGGCATAAAAGTGTTTAAGGAGTGCGAGCTTATAAAACAATTAATGAAGAGCAACAATTTAACACTTTAAAGATTAATTAATATTACTGATGGTAAATTATCTTCTAAACAAAATAATTCATCCTCAAGATAATTCTAATATTGAAATACAAAATTATGTATTCCTCTTCAAGAAATTTCTTCCTTAGAAAATGAAATACCTATATTTCAAAATTGTACTTTTTCAAATGTTTCTTTTTACATACAAAAATAATTTCGATTTTATAATTCTTTTATGTATGGTTTTTACAGTAAACTGATCATGTTTATATCACATAATAAATTATACTTTTATTAATATACTAATATTGGAGATAGAAAATAATATTATATTATTAGGAACCGTGGGATAAATAAATGGTAATGATCAGAATCATGTGACTTCAAAAAATACGAGCATGTGTAGTAACTACAGCCTTCCTTTTTTACCTTGGCTACTTTTACGATACCTAACTTGAAATGTCAGTGTCATATCTTAAAGATTTCTTTTGTAAAACAAATACTTCTGAATGGACGTGTGAAAACGCTGTCGAGTATTACAAAAAGTATATTTCACCAAATGAAAAACTTAAAAAAATTCTCTACAGTATCAACGTTGAGCTCAAACAGGTTCTAAAAGCTGAGTCTGATGAATCATGCAGAATGGCACAGTATATACTTGATTACTGGAAGGTATGTTTGTTAGTTTGTAGTGAGATTGAGGGGGATAAAGTCTCATTTTTATGAGGCTAAAGAAGGCAATCGAGATATGGCCAAGCTGGAACACGGAAAGTCAACCGGTTATGAACGGAAAGTTCGTGCCAATCTCGATAGTTAAGGTGTGGCCAAGCTGGAACACAGAAAGTCGACTGGCCATGAATGGAAAGTTCGTGCCCATTTTGATTGTCTTCAGTGGTAAGCTGGAACATAGAAAGTCGACTGGTCATGAACGGAAAGTTCGACACCTCCCCTCAACCTTATTGATTTTGAGTTGAGAGCTATACTAATTCTATCTTTTCTCCCTTTTTCTGCTGAGCACTGGACTAGTGATGTAAAAAAATCAGATCAGAATGTTAAGACTATCCAAAATCATCTTAATGAACGTAAAGCTCTTGTGGTATGCTATCTTTGGTTTTGTTTTTCATGACGAAGACATTCAGAATTTTGAAATCTATTTCTTTGCTCATATTACAGGAAGAATAGCATAACAAAATCCTAAAAAATTCAATAATACGAGATCAAGTCATACGAAGCATGCTCGCAGAACACATAACAAGTAAACGGCCAGCTGAGGAAGCCTCTCCCATAATCACTTCTCCTAATCTTCGAGATCATACTCAACACGAACAGGACAGGCCACGAACACCAGAAAATAACCTTCAAGGGGAGATGGTACTTAGGAAAAAAAAGAAGGTTCACTATACTGAATCTTCAAGCTCAGATTATGATGGTTACATAGAAGGATCTAAGGTATTGTAATTATTTTTTTTACCAGGTTATAGCCAGTGTTGTCAATTCTAACCTTATTTTTGAAATCTATTAAGTATAAAAATGCAAGACCAAACTGATATGCCCGTGAAGAGGATAATTCGCGTGAAAGTACACCATGTCTCACAACACAAACAATCGCAAATACTTTGATCATAACACCCAACAAACCCATTATTACGAGCGCGATATTTAATCAATATTCCATGCACGTTATTTGTGCCTTCAACAATGCACCTCATTAAACAAACTACAGAAAAATAATTATATGAGAAAATCGAAAGAACTCTTAAAACACGAAATAAATTAGTTTTAAAAGAACTTATACTTAAAAAACTTGAAGCAATTTTTCAGTCGGACTATTCAGAAATTTTTTCCAAGATAATCGAAGAGACAGCAACTGAAAAAGATAATAAAACAACTAAGGAGTCTAGGTTCCTCTTTTTCATAAGACATACCTTACTTGATTTTGTTGCAATGTTCAAATATCTGACACCAAAGATTTTAGATAGGGATATGAAAGAAAGATCGTACATTGTCGAATGCCTTTCGCCAATTCTTCGTGCTTTCCGAAATGCTTTTTCTGGAATAAAATATGAATGGATCGAAAAGGATGTTGAATCAATTAAAAAAGTTAATGAAATATTTATGAGCAATATTGGTCATTGTAAAATAGACCTACTTGTCTTGAGATTATCAGATGCAAGTAAATTATTAATGGTCGAAGTATCAGGACCTCCTCATAAATCTACTAAGAGACATACAGTGGGCGACGTGAAAAAATTACTTATGATGGCTATTTGCAGTCTGTGTAGGATACTTGCCAACAATTTAGATTGCCCAATCAATGATGCCAAGAAAGTAAGAACGTATAGCATTCAAGCTATTGGTGATAGGATTACACTATTTGCTATTTCCCTTGCCAAGAAAAAGAAGTATTTAGCCATAAAATTGGCGTCATGTGTAGTTCTGTTTTCATATGAAGCAATCACCTGCTATACAAAAATATTCAATTTTTTCGCAATTATCTGAAACGAATTTATTGAACAGGAAAAGTACAGAGAAAAATTCGTTCATTTATTCCTTCTGCTGATAATATTAAGGATTTACAGGAATGGTTACATTTACCCGATAATTATTTAAACCTGTGACAGATGATGACATGGATGAACTCTTTTTATGATGTAAAATATTATAAAAATCGATATATTCTCAGTCTAATACATTAGTTAATATAAGAAAATAAATGTGATTATGTATATGAACAGTTTGTTGACAATAAAACTTACATATTTAACTTGTGAATGCAGAGTGTATATTAGCAATACGAAAAAATAATTCACTTGAATTTTTTTAGTCTAGATGCTACGAATATAATTTAAAGTTTCAAGTTTACTCAATGAGACCCATTTCTTAAAGATGCTCTGGAATAACTACATATGGGTCTTCGTAATACCAAACATACCTTAAGGCAATCTGATTCTCTTCGCATAATTCTTTCTTGAGTTGATCTCTTGCTTATTGTTTAATAAAATTATTCAGATCTCCTCTATGAAAGAATTCTATATATTTTTCGTATTACTCTCCTTGCACTTCGATTGCAAAGCCATATTCTAGGTAATAAATAACAAGTTCTAATCCTTTAGGGTGTTCAGGAATTTTCAAGAAATCTGGTCTGCGATTTTCAGATGGTGGATCAAGATACTTTGCTACAATTTCTCGACATAATTGTTCGCGTTTATATTTATAACAAAATGGACACCAGATACCACTTTTTATATTACCGAGAGATGCTTGTCATATATGGCCTTGTTTGCAATACCATAATAGTGGTAATTGTTTATTTTTATACTTGATTGAAAGGCATTGCTCATGTCTAGATAATGCGATTTGCTTCGCGTCCTCAAGAGTTAATTTCATACCGCCTGCATAATATAGACACCAGCTTCCTTGTTGAATATTATTGGGAACAGTTTCCCATCTATGTTTATTCTAGCAAATCTATTCTAGTTTGGCACGTGAGTTATAGTATCGATCTGAAAAGTAATCTCCATTTTTTATTTGCGCGAGCTTACGCATATCCTCAATAGATTGATATTGGCCAATACAAAATGGATAATATTGTCCTCTATTTTTAACGTGATTTAGTAAATTTTGCCATTGATGATTAGATTGACATCAGTTCACCTATGTTTTTATACTCAGTTGAAAGACATTCCCCATGTCTAGATAATGCGATTTGTTTTGCGTCCTCAAGGGTTAACTTCATACTACCTTCACAATATGGGCACCATGAATTAGAATATTTAATATGATGAAGCGGGCTATTCCAAATATAACCTTTATGACATTTTCACATCATTAAAGTATCAGAATTTCTATATGTAGTCGTAAGACATTTGCCATTTCAGCTAAGTGCAATTTGTTTGGCATCTTCAAGAGTAAGATGAGCATTGTCTGCACAATATGAACACCACTTACTACTTTTCACATTGTCAAGAGATGCATGTCATAAATGGTTTTCTTTACAACGCCACAATAATGGCAATTGGTTATTCTTATACTTAGTTGAAAGGCACTTCCCATGTTTAGATAATATGATTTTTTTGATATCTTCAAAAGTATATTTTACATTACCTACATAATGTAGGCATCATGTTCCATAATTTCTAACTCTATATAGTGGAGCACACCATGTATGATTCTTAGAACAGTGCTATATTAATGGAGTTCTGTTATCCTTATATTAACTTAATTCTATCGATCCTGACCCCTTTTTCTCCAAATAGTATAAGAATATTTTTGGCTCTATGTGTTTGAATTCGCAAATTACCCATAGTGATATTAGGTAAATATTGCAACATTTCTTTATATATCATCGATCTTGCTGTTTTATCTTTAGTCTTACCATCAGCTGTAATATTTTTTACTTTTTCTTCGAACTTAAAGGAATAATGATACAAGCATAAGATTTCTTTTAGACTTATTTTCATAGTCTCATTAATCTAATAAGCTAATCTCTGCATAGAGCCCTCAATTGCATTGTTTAAGATGGACTCATTATGTAGTTTAACTGATTCCACTGAAGAAATAGGTCTAGAAAGTTCATGCTTCAAAGTTTGTTCAGTAGCTTGATTTCTATCAAGTGGTTGTGTAGCAATCAGTCCAGACATTTCATCAGATAGGACATCCTTGCTATCAGTACAAGTGATCATTTTTATGTCACATGATAAGTTGTCCTTAATGGATGATGGAGCAGAGATATTATCACTTATATTAAGTAATAATTTTAAATCTTGATTGTTACCATTGGTAATGATTTTTTTGTTACGTGATAATTTTGAATCTTGATTTTCAGTAAAAGTTTTTTTGTCACATGTTAATTTTAAATGGACTTGATTTTTAGTTAACTCATGTAAAAATTTCTTCTCCTTATTGCATTGCTTTATTTCACTATTAACGATTTTCTTATGAACCTCAAGCAAGAAACTATTCATATCTTTCTCTTCCAATGATTTGTTATTAAAGCATTTCGCAAAGTTGGTAAATACTGTTATCACCTCTGATACTGCAATTGAATTGAAGCTAGATGAACTGTTATTAGTAGAATTATGTGAGACACCTCTTAGCTCATTTAAAGTCTGGTTCTGTTTCACTTTTGTGATTTTATCTCCTAACTCAGATTTCATCTTCTCGATTCTAGCCCTAAATTTGATATTTTCAGCATTACGCTTCTCATTATATTCTTTATTCACTCTTAGAAACTCAGCATTCTTATACTTAAGTTTAACTATTTTAACATCAGATACTGAGAGCTTGATTCTAAGATCACAGATTTCAGTATTCTTCTTTCTAAGCTCTACATTCTCAACCTCAAGCTTGTTATTCTCAGCCTCAAGCTCAGTAATATGCTGTCTCAACAATTTAAGCTCGGATGACATAATTGTAATATGTTTTATACAAAAAGAGAATTATTCAATATATATAATTAATACTTGCATAGATATAAGAAAAAATTCACATGATTTCAGCAACCTCAGGTCATTCCACAGTTAATCGTAACAATCATCGCAAAACATGAAAGTTTCTAGATCTTTGATAAATTAGTATGTAGATTCTAGAGGAATCACATCAATTACCCCATATGAGAAAAATAATTGACTTTATTTCACAAGTTACTTAGTATCCTAAATGTTTTTTATTTGCAATACATTGAACCTGATCCTAAAGAAATTGCTAAAAATAAATTATATGATGCGGTACTAGTCAGGGTATATGATGATTTTTTCTAATCCCTGATCCGCTTCATTATATTAGTCTATCCGTCTGTTCTATCCACCACTCAATAGTCCACTATATTCATTATTTTCATCTGACCTTAGTTGTAACACTAATGAGAACCTTTAAAAGGAACTATGTATTGGTTATAAGCTTTGAAGACGCCTCCTTGCAAATGCTCAGCCTAAACTGAAAGTAAATACTTATCCTTAATTATCTAATGTCTCGTCTGATGTTTCACTAAGTAACTTTTGTTTCACCAGCACTTTTTCATACAGAAATACACAGTGAGTATGGTCGTTATACAGTATTTGCTTATTTATATAGTTGCAATATTCGTATTTATGGATTGTAAAATTTCGTTTACCTCGAGAAAGAAATTTTTTTTTCATTTAAGCGAATATATATGCGATTCTCACGTCACATAGCCCCTATTCTTTGGTAAGAGTTTTTCTGATATTGTACTATGCATTTGGGTCATGAACTAGCAAAATGCTTTTCCGAGACCTTTCGTCAAAAAAATTTTTTTTTGTTTTAATATAAGCCCGATATGTTTAACTATATAATAATCTAATTTTTTAAGCATACAAGTATAATAAATTATCAAAATATTTACACAAAAATTTCTTTTTCAAAAAAAAGATCGTCAATCTAAAATTAGTACAATATGCATTCTTAATTAAGCAAATAAAATTCAATATAAAAAAATATTAATTTTTCTTTATGGCTTAGGACATATAATATCCTAAAATGGATCATCAACAAACTTTCGAATATTTTTATATAAATATTCTTGACACGTTAATGATAAAGGTTTGGATAGCACCTTTTTCTACAGTTCTATTTGAAAATTCATCTTCACCTATAATATAATTTAATTATTACGCAAAAGGTTATTGTTTGTATTACATACACCAAAAATATATGTTGCAAAAGCAGTTTTAAAATAAATTTGACCAACTTGTTGTGATGAAAAAGAAATGTGAACATTCTGCGTCCAGTCATAGCAAATATGAGCAATTTCTTTATGTGTATTACTAATTGTAATATTATTATTATAATATTATCATTCCTTTTCTGCTTTATTTTTATGATTCTTTAAATCCAATCCTGTTTTACCCTTTTATCAAGGTTTTTTGCATATTGAATTTTTTTTTAATATTTTACACATATCACATAAATCTGTAGCAGATATCATAAATTTAACATGTGGTATAAGACTCTTCCAAAGTTGAATGAAACTCTTGTATGATATTACTGATATATTACTATCTAATTCTCTACTAGTTGTAACAAAATCCTCATAAATCCTAGTATAATTTTTTTCAGTTGGCAATAAAATAATTGCTAAAGAATCTGTTTGCATATGACGACCTAGTGAGGGAAATCCATAAATATTTGCATAATTGATAATAAAGTTACAAAAAATTGTAGCTAATTCTTGATTAATAGTAACACACAATGTTACTTTAGAAAGATTTCTCATATTTCTATGTTGTCATTCTACCAATTCTTTCGTTAATTAATGATGTTTAATGGCTCTTAAAGTTTCATCTTTAATGCTAACAAGTTTAAGGTAAGTATTTTTATATAAGGAAATTTTAAAATTAAAATGATAATTAAAAAAATATTTTTTTTTGGTTATTTTTGTCATTATTAAGAAAAGCTAATAGTTGATCCATTAAAACAAATTCTAGTTATTTTTTTTCTAAACTTTGAAATTCTAAATGTCTTTCAAGAAAAGCTTCAAACCCAACTTCTTTAAAACATTTTTCTCTTTTATTACGGCAAATACAGTTAGCAAAAACAAAAATTATTTTAAATCATTAATAACTGCTTACATAAATTCATTCTTTTCATATTGTTTCAAAAC